ATTGACAGTAGCGTTTCAGCACAGACTGGACTGGTGTCTTACCTTAGACCCGCCCTGAGCGAGCTGTCATCAGTCTGCCATTGTTTCACCGCCGGAGCAGATGTAGACTATTTTGTTTTACTAAACCGTTTCATATTGAATCTAGGGGGTAATCTAGACTGTGGCAGTCAAATGCGGCTTTACCGAGCTCAACGGCTCTGGCCCGAGCAGATATAAACAAAACGGTATTGGCTATTTTAAAAAGGGGGTGGGGCTGCTCGATATGTCCCGCCCTCTCTTCCTGTTTCAGTTGAAATTACGTCACCACATAGAATGATGCTGCATGTTTCAAGGCACTTCGGGGACCTTTAAATACATACAATGGTGTGAAAGTTATTCTTTAGTAGAGAACAATGCTGTGTTGGAACGAACACATGTCAAATCATAATTGCGATTTCCAAACTTGTGAGCACTTCTTAGCTGCAATAGACTTAGCCGCCTCCTCTTTCTCTACAAAACAAAACTTTTCTTGGGCACATTCATGGTACATCACTTTGTTTGTCCTCAATGATCGACTACCCAGCCATTGAGAACCAAGTGTCTGTCTGTCTTGAATACATCAGCAGACCCCTGAGGTCTTTTACCATCACAGAAACACCTTGTAGAGATCTATCAACCACTGAGGGCTGCTTCCATTGAACAACCTGTCAGAAGCCACGCTATTTCCCATGAATCATATTTTAACACCTCTTATCTTCAAAAAATATTAACTAACTGTCAAAGAGCGATAAATGGTATCAGAATGCTCTTGGGAAGAGCAACACTCTGTATCTGGGGTCATCTAAAACTTTATGGTGCTCACAGCAGTTTGAAAGTGCTTTCTAAGGTGTTTCTGAAAGCAGATGGATATGTCATGCTGAAGAGAGTGCCGTAAAGATGTCAGCAGGGAGGCCATGATAAGCAGTTTGATGCTTCGCTGGTTCTTGGGTCAAAGTTATCAAAAGGTGCAAAGCAACTTCCGGCTCAAATTGATGGTTGTCCGGAAGCATATACAGGAGAGACTAAGCTATTAACTTAAGGGTTCCTCTTCCTGTCTTCCTGCAAGTTTCCTTTACTTCCAGAGTATTGTTTTTGAAATATGAGCAAGCTTAGAGCCAGGAAACAAATTTTCCAGAACAATGCTATATCGGGGGACTTTTGACAGTGAGCAACTTAGACTCAGTCCTTGCTAAATGCTCCGTGAAATATTTTGCCTGAGGAAGAGTGACAATAAACCTGTCGAAAATGTGGGTCTCGACAATCAGTTATAGATATGAAACTGGCAAAGATGATGAGAAGTAATGTGTTGTGTATTAGAAGGACCCAGAGAAGTGCGAGTGTGAGTGTGTGTGTGTAGGACTACTTGAAGACCTTTGACAGTGGCCCACAGCAGTGGTTTCAGAGGATAATGCACCCTGACAGTAGTCAAAGCCTGCGCAACTATAACCGAAGGGCAGAGACAACTTACACAGGCGCTAAGACACACACATTCATAAAGAAAATGTGTGCTATAAGCAAGATAAAGATGTTTATTCATAGATAAAGATTCTCTACAGGTGCAGAAAAAAACAAATTCAAGGACACGGATACACATAGTATCTTTAATTCATGAGGATGAGTAATGTCAGGTTTATAGTGTTCACTCAACCATAATGAATACACAATGAACCAGATTATTCAAACTTGGCCAATTGTGTTCGGTTACGAGACATGCAAGAACCATTTTTGGTGTTACTGACATCAAACCTGGCACAACATGAAGATTTTCAACTATTTTTGATCCACAAGCATGACTTCTGAACACTCAGGATACAGCACAAGTATATAGCCAAGTCATATGGACTATGTTTGTGGTGATTTTATTTCTATTTTACCTCTACTCTACAGAACAGTGGAGAAGCAATAGACGGCAAAAGGAAATGTAATTCCATTTGGTACTGCTAGTGACACCGAAATTAGACACTTTACCTTTAAATGATTAGCTAATCACAACCAGCTTTCAAAAAAGAAAAAAAAGAAAATGATTATAGTATACACTTTTCAGATTAATATGAATTTTAATCCAAGCAATTAAGGCTTATTCAGATCCCCATTAACACAGGTCGAAGAGATATTAAAGCTAAAGAGAGTAAACATAACCTGCCTAAGAGGTATCAGTAAAGGCAAATGCATAATTGGACGAACACGAGGAATAGGAAAAAAACAGCAACATCAGGGGAGGCTCTGGAAAACACTTCCCTTTCATAATCTCTGAATTCAACCAATCAGTACTCAGA